GGGTGAAGAATCGGGCCTTAAACCTGATTGTGTGACGTGGGGGGGTGTGACTTGGACGTGTATGATGATGTGGCATTGACGATTACTTTTTGGGTGCCACGTCAATTTTCCGATCGGACATGTCAGCGCCCCTTTGCCGGAATTCATATTTCAGACAAATATGCAATACTTAATAAAGGTTTGTGTTTTGTTGCAAATTTTAAAAGGTTGAGTTTTATATGTAATTAAGCAAAAGGCTGGGTTTTTTTTTGGCAATTAACCCTTATATATATATGTTTGTCGCGTAGAGTATCGCATTATTTGTTTCACACTTTTAATAAGGTAAAAAATTTAACTTATTAATTGACGGTGTCACAAAATTAACGCCGAAAATAGTCATTTCTTCTATACATAAATGCATAATTTTATTAAAAACTGTCATTTTAATTAAACTATACATAAAACTATAAGAAACTATTAAAATAGGATATTTGATTAGTATAAATATGCATAAGGTGGATGGTGAGAGAAAAAAAAATAAAAAAAAAATAAATAAAAAGAAGAAGAAAAAAAATAAGAAAAAGAAACATCACTCTAAATCTCCTCCGTCAATCATCATCTTTGGACCGGTTTGAAATCAGTTTGCCGTTGTCGTCTCCTCAACCCTCTCCGCGTCTCGTCCAATCTCCGTCCTGTTATTGTTCGCCGGCGGGCTCGACCATCACCTGCTCCTCTTTCTCGTTCCCATCGCCTTCTCAGATGCTTACATCTTACAGGTGCTTAGCTTCCGTGCCTTGTCACTCTATTGTTGTAAGATTGAAATTTTGATTTTGAGCTAGAGATGCATATGAAAGTCAAAGTGTCTCAATCGAGCTCGTTTTTCCGAATCCCTTGGGAAATGTTATGTTTGAAAGAACCAGTGGAGGTGATGGTGTTATAGTTGGGAGTGAATTTAGACAGATTCCTTATTTGATTTTTTCTGGTTTCATGCGTTCTTCCTGATCTGTTCAAATGAATCCCATCTCGGGACAAAAATGCTTTCTAATGAATTCTAAGTGTGTAGCTTGTTCTAGACGGCCTGCTCTTCCTTATCATTTTACTTGTATGGTTAGGTTTGTTGTATTCTTTAAATGATGAAGTGATGATAGCTATCTATCCTTGATTTTTGGAACATATCATAAGCCAAAGAAAGTTAAGGATTGACCCGAAACCGATTCTGAATAACATAAATAACATTCATGTGTATTATGAGAAAATCCTTCTGGCTGATGAATCTTGAAATGCTATAGTTTTTTCTTCTCATGGAGACAAGGGACAGTGTAAGTTTTGAACTTTTTTCTTACTCGACTTTGAAATTCTTTAAAGCCTGACCATTCTGGTCTAGTATCGACCCTTTTCTCACCTTTGCATTCTTACAAATCACTTTAATTTGTTGAGGACCAAGTGATTTAATTTGAACATAATCAGGAGAGGCAATTGCAGTGGACAGTTCATTGCTGCTGAGCGAGTTACAAGCACAATAAAACCAGTTTAACTCTCGCTCTCCACAATTAAGTTTTTGGTTTGTTGGAATTACGAAGTCATCTTGCACAGTCTAATTAGAATAGTTTAATAAACAAAATGTGCTCTTCATCTTGCACTTGGAAAATAGTTAATTTGACTAATTAGAATTTAATTGTGGATCTAGTTAGTTTAACTTCGATATATTTTGGGAATCCTATATAGAAGAATCTAATTGTTTGGGCTTCATAAGTAGACTTTTTTTTTTTGTCGTTTTCGCAATAAATTATTTGATGGCAAGTTGGCTTAGAAGGTGTATTTTCTCATACTGAAAGCCATTCGCTGTTTCGTGATGTTCTGAACAGTTGTTAAATTGTGGTGACTATTGGCATGGAGAACCCACTTCATTTTAGTTTTTTTTTTTTACTATTTCTATAATTCTTTTAAGAATGAATATGAAATTTATTATCTCGCTGTGAGCAAGCAATTCTTTCTTTTTTGAAAGCATTTCAATTCTTAATGAAATTTGACTTGGAATAAGTCTGTCTCCTGCTGATGTGTCAAAATTATCACTATTATATTTTTCTCCTCTAGATTCTTCGGCTATCTGTTGAATCTGCTCAAAACGTTGGAGCAATAAAGGTTGAATTAGCTGAGGCAAAGAAGATTTCTCAGTGCTCATAAAAGCAGTTGCATCAGTTATGGTATCGGTCAGTAACTTCGTACCTTTGTTATATGAATTGAAGGCATAGCTAAGATCAGCAATACTATTTGTACATAACTTCTTTAAGTCGACATGTGTTTGACAGCTTATGGTTGCTTCACTATGCTGCGGTGGGAAATTAAAAGCAAAACCAACCTGATTTGGCATTTAAGTTTTATTTAGTTGTGTCGCTTACTTTATTACTGTTTCCCATGTGACTCGTGGTAGTCAAAATAGTTTCAGCTTAGTGTTTATCTTGTGTGTTGAATGTTTCACTTTGTTGTCCAAGCCATCCGTTTTGCTCTGACATATGATAGAAAAAAGGATAACACATTGGATGATTACTCTTATTCTAGTTTATGTTGGAGAATCTGTACCTTAGGCCCACTTATTTATTCTCTAAATGTTTTTTGATATATACTGTTCTTACATGTCAAATATATTCTAGCAAACAGTATGATATCTTGATGGTTTCTAAATAGTGATGCTTACATAAATTCGAACATCATTGTCTATGAGTGTCGAGCTGTCTACTTGAATACAATCCTTTTTGCCTGGAGGTACTATCAGAATACTAACTGAGGATATCTTCTCTGAATTGACTTTACAGGTCTTGATTTACTTCGTCATTAGATGCAAAGTCTATGTTCAAGTAAGAAGCGATTATTATGACTTCTGACCTGAAGTTATTACTAAACATGCCTGACATCTTTTTACTTATTTGGAGAATGAAGCAAGATATTATCATTTGAACTTTTTCTGCGACAAAATTACAGTTCAAACTTCGTTCGATTTATAATAACTAATAAGTTCCACATGTTCTCCATCATCCCTTGTGTCAACCCTCTCATGTGTCTCGTCTTTCTTAATATATCAAAGTCAAATTTATCTTTACCTTTGAATATACATAGATCATTGGTTATAAATTAATGAAGTTTTTAAAAAAGCCAACCTATCAGCCCCTTATTTTTCTTTTTTTTTTTTCTCCCTTTGAAATGACCAAATTTCTGATTGTAAAATAAGTTGAGAATATCTGCTTCGAGATTGGTCATCCAAGCGTCTCAAAAACACTTCTTTTATTTATTTATTTTTCTTTCTTCCACCAATTGGTTGAATCCAGTGATGAGGAGCCGCTCAGCTTCAAAAAGATGCACGATTTCTCCACGGCCGACGGCTTTCTGGAGATAACTGAAGACCTGGCTGACATGATAAGGTTTGCAGCA